AACAATTTGTCAAAAACATTCATGACTCTCTTCTTCTGCTTGTGTGGCATGGTGTAAAATCCTGTTGTAAACATGGACATTTCCAAAATTGCCATCATCTTTGAATATATATTTAATACATCCTGAAGGCATTTCATTATAATCTCTCTGCTGCGTCTGAGATGATTATTATGTAGATGAATAGACGCATAATGTCGCTTTCACTAGTATTCACTCCAAACACTTTCGTAATCACCATTAGACTCATCCAACTCTTTCCGAATCCTCTGCACTGTCCTCAGATTGACACCCAAACACTGCTGAATTATTCGTACTTCTGGCGGAGTGTATCACATCATGGTGCTTTTTTCTCACAGACAGTGCCTAACTGACCATACTATATTTTGCAGTCGACAAAATCAAAAAAGCAAAGCGCATGCGCGAAATAAAAAATTTAAAAAATGGCTACAATTTACCCATCCTGTCCTGTGTGTACATATATATATATATATATATTTGTGAATATGATAGGATCCAACTGAAAATAAGTAGACAGAATATAAAAAAATTATTCAACAAAGTATGTCGCAATACATATATATATATATATATATATATATATATGATTGTGTTCAGAAATTAAGAATATTTAATCTTCTTTTCTCTCTCTCTCTCTCTCTCTCTCTACTATATATATATATATATATATATATATATATATATATATATATATGTCAATTACAACATATTAAGTCAATATACAGACAAGACAGTGATGACATCTTTGATAATTTTTTTATTTAAAAAAAGCGTAGATTGGATTAAAAAAAATGGATCAATATTGTGAATTTCTTTCTTCGTTCAACGATAATGTTATTAAATTTATCAGACGTTACGAAAAATTTACATAAAATAAATAGACAACACTTGTCTATATTATTTAATGAAACGTGTATGAATGAAAAATGCTGCCTTTCAATACTTTACAATATATATATATATATATATATATATATATATATATATATATATATATATATATATATATTTAAACACACACACACACATCAACACAACACAAAAACACTTGTGCAAATTAATTGAAACAAAAAATTTTATTTTTTTTTTTCGTATTTTTCTAATGAAACATGATCCCGTACACATGTAAGTACTTCGTATGTCCATTCCACGAAGTCGTTCCTTGCAGATTGACCACAGATTCACGATTGGATTTAAATCAGGAGAGTTTCCGGGACAGTTTATAGTACTTTGATTTGCTCACTGGTAAGACTTACCAGTGTGTTCGTGCAGTGTTACAAATTTTTGTACGCTTCCTTGGAGTAACGTCCATCGCAGACAATGTCCGTAAGACAACTAATCGACTATAGAATCTGGACGTGATAAAAATCTGATGCAGTCACGGAGGACTCAATATTATTCAAGGCCAAACATCATGCCTCCCAAAAATAGATTCATATTACTGCCCACCATTGCAAATGACATAATCTGAGGAAAATATAGAAACCGGTTATAGCCTGTCACTCCAGTTGGTCTAAAACTGACCGTTTGGTGAACTAAGCGGTTGTTTGAATTAATTGGCACAAGGGTGGGTGTGTCTGTGTATGTGTTTGTGTGTGTGTGTGTGTTTGTGTATGTGTGTGTGTTTGTATATGACGTTGTTCGTAAAATAAAAAATATTCCCATCCCTATATATACATATATATATATTTTAATCTACAGTTCTACTTGATGTGAATTCAACCAATTTATTAGTCTGCGAGACCAACTTCGTTGCTAAAAAGAGATACATAAATAGGTGTATATTATTCACTATTAAAGAATTAAAGAGATAGATAGATAGATAGATAGATAGATAGATAGATACTTCACTATTAAACAGTAAAATAGATAGATAGATAGATAGATAGATAGATAGATAGATAGATAGAAAAAAGTGCGTGTCAGAGAGAGAGAGAGAGAAAGGAAGAGAGAGGGGAGAGAGGAAAAGAGAGAGGGGGAATAGAGAGAGAATAATAGGAAGAGAGAGGGGGAAAGAGAGAGAAGCTTCTTAGCGTTTTAGTTCGTATCTACTTTCGCCATGATTTGTGTTTTCTGCTGTGTTCAAATGTTTTATCTTGTTACGTCCTAGAAAGTGTGTGATTACTTTAAATTCATGGCGATACAAATGTTTGAGGCAATGAAAAAATAATTTAAAGTAAAAAAAAAATCTTAAAAAGAACGAAAGTAAATGAATATCTAACTTAATTTGATTTTTTTTCCTTTTTTTTTTTAGGTGAGTGATTCCTTTTTTGTTCGATTCTTCGAAATACTGTTTGGCAATCGAAATCTTTTCAGGCAAGTCACTTATTGTTTTTCATCTGAGACGGAGCAGGGGTGAGGAAAGTTCCAAATTAACAATTTTTCATACTTTATTTACTTTTTACTTTTTTCTTCTTTCCGTTTTTATCTTTTTCTTTCCTTCTTTTTCTTTCTCTCCCTAAGGTAGCATTCATAAAAAATATTAAGTTGGTCCCTGATCTGAGCTTTCGGCTCACATGAGCCATCTTCAGAGTGGTTATGCGGACATTTTAAAAAATATATTATTAGATCAAGGACCATCTTAATAAAAAATATCCAAATGTTGGACAATTTTTGTCATTATTTTCACTCAAAATTAAATCAAACATACGAACATTAGAACGGTTCATGATCAAACATAGTAGACATTCGTTGTCTGTTATACTTAACACTATATGTTTAAATAATGATCTGTGCCCCTTTTTGCTATATATATATATATATATATATATATATATATTTATATAAAATACCTTTAACTGAAATGATCCTTTTGTTAATGAATTTTATTTTAAAATTTTAATTTTAAAATTTGCAGAATTATTCAAAAATATTTATGGTACTATTTTATAATGAGATACCCGACTATATACTGATACCATAAACAGTTTGAAAAATCCTGCGAATTTTAAAATTAAAAATCGTAAGTGAAAATGGTCATAAACTAAAGGTATCTTAATTCCAGTTGTAAAGAAAATTTGCCCTGTTTAATAAGATTAAACATTCAGCGCTCTTTTGTGGGTCAGTTTTACCCTGGATTATACCAACGGATTACTACCTATATATATATATATATATATATGATAAAATATAGTTTTAAGTTATGTTGTAAATATGAGTTTCAAGTACTCAATATGATATATATATATATATATATATATATATATATATATATATATAAATTAATAAATTATTTTTATTAATGATACATTTATTAATAAAAGTGCTCAATGTCAGGATGGACCGCATGTAAATATAAGTGTAAAAATTGAGGTTAAAAAAAAGTGGAGGGAAATTAAGAGAAAAAATGAAGAAGAGTCAGGGGGAAAGAGAGAGAAAGAGAAAAATGGAGAGATTTTCGGGGAAGAGAGAGAAGAGAGAGAGAAAGAGAGAGAAGAGAGGGGGAAAGAGAGAGAAGAGAGGGAGAAAGAGAGAGAAGAGAGAGAATATTCTTATTTTTGTTCGTATCTACTTTCAGGCTTGAACACACTCTTCAAGAATCTGATTGTGTTCAAGCAAAAAACAGACATCTGTTTCGTGACCTGTATATTAACACTTCGATATATATATATATATATATATATATATATATATATATATATATTATTGAATAATATTAAGTAAAATTATGTCTGTTTTTGATAGGAAATCTTCCATACTAACGAATAATCTTCCGTGTATTGATGTTGAAGGATGAGAGAAATGTGCTAGAGCTGTTTAAATTTCCTTTTTTCATTTCCCAACGAAAGCTTATTCGTAGTATGAATTTTATTTTGTTAAAATTAGCAAGCATAATGTCTGTAATTTATTCAATGCAGACATGCCTAAAAAACAATTTTCTACCTAAATACATATATATATATATATATATATATATATATATATATATATATATATATATTATTATTATTATTATTACTAGAAACGTTATTTTTAGTGGGTGCACGGGTTTGCTGTCCTTGCTTTTCATTTTATTAAACAGTGAACTTAATAAACACCGGCCAAACTGAGAAGTCTTTATGCTCAACATCAAGACAGTTGAAATTTCGGGGACACAATGAGGAAAGAGGGCTTGGAAAATTTGATACTCACAAGACAGACTGAATATTAGAGCGCTGGGGGAAAGCAATGCACAACCTACCCGGCGAGGTTGAGCGAATGGACGACGGATCAGATTTTGGGAGAAATGACAAATAGACAAAAGATATTAAGAGCTAAAAAGGACAGGAAATTGTGGAGAGCCATGATCTCCAACGTCCTGAAGGGACACGACACATAGAAGAACAAACTTGTGTAAATGGATGGCGGATCAGGTTTTGGAAGAGATAACAAATAGACAAAATATATGAAGAGATGCAAAGGAAAGGAAATTGTGGAGAGCCATGATCGCCAACGTCCTGAAGGGACACGGTCCATTGAAGGAGAGAAAAAGACTTTCTACCTATATATTTGGCAGTGAATGCTGGTCAATCTCCTGTCAGATGAAGAAAGATCTTGAAGCAACATAAATTTTCTACAGAAGGATGCTGAGAATACCATGGACCGAACTTATGAGCAGCGACAACGTTTTAGAGAAAAGGAAACAAAAAAGACACTTATTCTGAACATCAGGAAGAGGCAGTTGAAATTTCTGGGGCACATAATGAGGAAAGAGGGCTTGGAAAATTTGATACTCACGAGAGAGACTGAAGGTGAGAGGGTTCAAAAGAAAGCAACGCACTATCTGGCAAGCTTGTATGAATGGATGACAGTATTTGTGGGGGAGGGCAAAAAGGCAAAAGCCATTAAGAGCTAAAAAGGACAGGAAATTGTGAAGGGCCATCATAACCAACTTCCTTTTTAGTTGTCGTGCTACCAGATGTGGCCACTGAGTGCCTATAAATAGACTTGTTTCTTGGAAATTTAGCATAGTGACATTTTTTCGCTATAGTGGTGACCCGGTCATGTCGTTCTTTCTGTTGTTCTTGCTGCAGCTACGACTGGCGAAGTTAACGTCGAGGATGATAAAAGATAAATCTTCTATATAAATAAAGTGCAGTGTACGTGTGTCCGTCCGTCTGTCCGTTTTTCGATCTCGGTGAATCATAACATGTAGTAACTGCTGTAGTTACACGCGATTAAAAATTAAATAACTCATTTAAAGTTAAATTTAAATATCGGACAGAGTGAAAGGTTTTAAAAAAAACAATTCTTTATTAAAGATTTAACTTTAATTTCGCTTTTCGTCGCAATTACAATTGATATCGTCTAATTAAATCGTAATTAAAACATAAGTGGGGCACGCTACGTTGCTCATATGTTTTTTTTTTGTTGTTGTTGTTATTTTGGGGGGGGGTTCCTAGCACTTTTTCTGTGACGTACTCGAAATACTACATCGTTCTGGTTCCCTAAAGTCTTTTAAGAGTGACTTTATGTGAAGGGATCATGAAGAATGGTGATTTTAAAAGAAAATAAAAATTCCGCACAAAATAAATGTAAACAAACTATGAAGATCGGTTGTGTATACGAAGAAAGATTATGCCGAATTAAGGTGTCGAATAAGGATGAAATAATTTTATTATTTCTAAATTCTTATAACTTTTACATCCATAGGACGCTGAAGGTAAAAGGTCAAAGGCCAAAAAGTCCTCTGCAGGAGCTAGCCTAAAATCCGTTCAAAGGGCGGCTTCTAGGCTAGTAAATAATAAAATAATATAATTTTTTTAAAAAATATCTCTGTAATTACGTGTTTTACTCCCCAACCGCAGAAAATATCCCAGTAAAAACTTTTAATTAAATACCAACAATGAACTTCGAAGCCATGAGTCGCACGCCTTAACATTACCCACTGACCTTATTTCGTTGAATTCTTTAAGTTCTTATTTCTCTTTTTCTTCCTCTTCCTCTTTTGACACTTTCGTCCCTTTCCCTCTACCTTAAATTCTCTCACTCTTTTTTTTTTTTGCATTTTTAGATTTCCTTGCTGCTTTTCTTTCTTCGTCTTCTTTGTTTATCTCTTTCCGTCTTCTTTATCTTCTCGCTTTCAAATCTTTTTCCTCTCACGTTTTCTCCTGTTTTGCCTTCTGTCTCTCTTTTCTTTTACTATTTCTTCTTACTTCGTTTTTTTTCCAGTGATTTTCTTTTACCTTTCCTTTCCTTTCTTCCCTTCACCATATCGTTTTTTCTTTCATTTTTCCTTCTTTTTCTCTTCTTCGCTTAGTTTTCTTTTCACTTTTTCTTTGTTCTTTCTCTTTTTCTTTTCCCTTAAATTGTATTTTCCTCATCATTCCCTTTATATTCTCTCCTTTTACTTCTCTTCTTTCTATTTTTACATGTTCCCTATTTTTTCTCTTTTTTTATCTACACCTTTTTCCCTCTTCTCTTTTGTCTCCCACTTTTTCTTCTTTCAAATTCTTCTTTTTTCTCTTCTCTATTTCTGATTCTCCTTTCCTCCCTTACCTTCGCTTTATCACTTTTTCTTCTTCTTTTTCGCCTATTTCTCATCCTTCTTGTTCTCTTTTTTATTTTTTCACCTCTAATCTTTCTACAACTCCATCTTTTTCTTCTCCTCCTCCTGTTATTCTTCCCATTTTGATATTTTTATCCTTTTTCTTCGAGAATTCTTGTCTGTTTTTCTTCTTCTTCTTCTTCTTCTTCTTCTTCTTCTTCTTCTTCTTCTTCTTCTTCTTCTTCCTGCTCATCATTTTATTATTGTTCCCTTTTTTTGCCCTTCTTCTTTTTTTCTTCTTCTTGTCTGTCTTCTTTGTCTTCTCATCCTCCTGCTATTGTTCTCTCTTCTTTTCCTTCTTCTTCTTCTTCTTCTTCTTATTATTATTATTATTATTATTATTTTCTTCTTCTTCTTCCTCCTCCTTCTCCTCCTCCATCTCCTGATATTGTTCTGTTTTATTGTCTTTCTTATTCTTTTTCTTCTTCTGTTATTCTTCTTGTTTTTAACATTCATCTTCTAGACTTTTTTGGCATTATTATTATTATTATTATTATTATTATTATTGCTGTTGTTGCTAAAATTTGGCTTCTTACCTACAACTCTGCAAATAGTCTTTAAATGAATGACGCCCCCATTCAAATCTCAAGACCCAGACATCCACTTTAGTTGGATCTTCTTTCACTTATGGCTCACATTCACACGCCTCTCCGTCCTTGTTGACGTTCCAATTTTGAAAATGATTGACGTCCGCTCCTAAATGTACTCCGTTAACTGCGTCCTGCACATCAAAAGTGGCCAACGTTCAAATAAATACTCGACAAGTGTCAGAGGCCATCTTTTAAAATCACTATTGTTTATTTCAATTCATCTTGCAAATAGAGCTTTTCTTCTTTGGGACTCCTGTGCCAACTTTTTTTTTTTTTTTTTTACAGTACTGAAAATAATTAATAAAATTTCAAAATTAGTAAAAAAAATATCACAAGCTCTTAATATAACGTAAGACATTATCGGTAACACTTTCAAACCAGCTGTTTACCTTTGTATTTCAAATAGACAAGCCGAGATTGAATTTTTTTCCTCATACGTTTTTCCCCTTAATTTAGGCTGTGAGCATTTGGGTACAAAGCATTTTATTAGTAAAAATTATTTAAATTAAAAAATAAAAAAAAAACAAACCTGCCACCACTTTTATTCCAAACATCCCGTTTGTTTGAAGTTGAAGTGCATGCAAGATAAACTATTTCGAACAAGAATTTCACTATTACAGGAAATAAGGAATTTAATTACAGAATAGATTACGTGAGGGGTTCTTTTAGTTCAGCTCAGTAAGATATCAGAAAACCAAAATATTAACCTGAGAACTAGATTTTAATTTGATTGATTCTTTTCTTTTTCTTTTTTTTTTTTACAACTTATCAACCCTTTCCAGGTCATTAGATAATATTTTTACATTCTCAGATTTTTTTTTCTTTTTTGAGATAATAATGGTTTAGTGATACAAGTCTTACTAATTAACCCATAGTTGGAGGGAGATGAGGTGGATTCATACCTTTGCCAAGGGTATTTGCGCGTAAGTGAATATAATGGACGCAACGGGTATTGGAACTCGGCTCTCCAATTAAAAATTACGAGCCATTATCCATTACACCACCCGCACATCTAAACTTACAGCACCTGATATTCCCAAGCAGTCACCATCTAGGTACTGACCAGGCTTTAGTGATCGTACGGGAATCGGTGTTTCCACGTGATATGGCCGTATATTCTTAAATAGATTCATCTTATCTAGACTCCAACAGAAAGGTTGGGCATTATCAGTTATCTATAACTGTTCTCAGGTCGATGATTATAAATGTCTTCAAGTCAATTAATCCTTTCGGTGTGAAGGAAGACCCTGCATAGCTAGCCACTCGAGAATATTAGGGTGGCTAGCCAATCCCGCTTACTCAGGCGCATTTGTGTTCATTCAACACCCGCAGAGTTTTATGAGTTACAGCGATCAACAATTTGAACAAGGCCAGCACGCTCATGCCCTCGTCCACGATGGCTTGTTACTTCGTGCTAGCACAGCTATTGACGTCCTCCAATTTCACTCACAGGGCTTGGGTCAACCCTTGGTATGGTTTTCAGGCATTTTCCAAAGGTGCTGAGATCGACCCCTCCAGTCCGATAACATCAGGACAAATCGACCATGGGGAGATTCGAACCCGGTTCTCAAGCCCAGGAGTTCTAACCTTTCGGCCACGTGCCCATATAATATTATCAAACCCTACGGTGCTAGATAATCGCAAAAAGCTTTATCAAACAACAAAGACAACATCGTATGAAGACTTCCAACAGCAGCAACATCTAAAGTGAGTAGCACATTTGACTAGAATGGAAAATAATGATAAAACGAAGATGTTGATCTTCCACATAACCTTAAACAAAAGTCCTGAAAGGAAATCCCCATCATTATTAGAAAGAGTCATAAAATTGGACTTGAGAAGTCTAATTTCCTGAAAATTTCAAGAAAAATATTTCATAAATTTCAACCGACAATAACGCTAAATGTTTGATCAATGATTATCGATTATCGATTATTTCCTGAATTAAAACGGCCTTTTTCGTTATTATGGTCAAGTCGTTAGGACATTCGCTTTTGGACCATGAGCCCTGAGTTCGAATCTCACCATGGTCGATATATCAAGAAACTGATTTCTTGTTGTTATTGCCCTGGGGAAGCGATCTGCCTAAAAATCATAGCACGGGTTGATCCATTAATTAAATTGGGTAATCGGAACTATGTGGGATCCGTCGATGGTCGTGCTAACACGAAGTCACAAGTCATCGTGAGCGAGGCTTTGAGCGTACTTGCCTTGTCCAAACTGTTGATCACGCCAGATAATGCGCTCTCTCCCAGAATCTACTGCATTGTTGCAGTAGAAGCCACAGGTGGGCTTTGTGGGTGGTGAACAAACACAAATGTACCTGAGCAGGCGTCTGCAACAGGGATTGACTAGTCTCCCTAGTAGACAGGCATACTCGGGTACGAGCGGCCAGCTATTGTAAGTCCATATTTTTTCAATTAAAACCCATGAGATTTTCATAAAATTTTATGTGATATTAGTGTCGAATACGACTTTCCAGGCAGCTCATCGCTTTATTTGAAAAGTAAGCAATTATAGAAAACATCAACTAAACAATCACGTATTTTTTGAAGGTCACAAAAGACTAGGGTGGAAGTTAAAAAAAAGTATAAAACAATTATTTTCAAAATATGTAAATTTGTTATCACCATTAAATGAAGGCGCTATGCTGGGCGTGATATAAGACAGATGCTGGTATATATCAAACCTCGTCCATTTGATGTCACGTAATATTTACACACATCGACACGCATACGAGAAAAAGGTTAATTTTAAGCTTTATCTGTGAGAAAATTGTCCAACATTATTCCAGTTTTTTTTTTTAAAAGATGCTGTGATATTTTGCACATGCATTAGATTATGTTGTTTTTGTTTTTCATTTTAATTATAGCATGAAATGAATATGGATAAACATATTGTTTGAAAATACCTTCATCACACACACACACACACACACATATATATATATATATATATATATACCTTCATCATATATATATATATATATATTATATATATATACACCTTCATCATATATATATGTGTGTGTGTGTGCGCGTGTGTGTGTGTGTGTGTGTGTGTTTTGTAAAATGTCCTTTTTTTGTGTTCATATAATTTTTTATTTAGATTACTTGTGGTTTCTCCTATGTATTTTTTGTGACAATTATTACAGGTGGTCAAGTAAATTCCTCCTTCAAATTTTAGCTTATTTTTTTTTTTCTATGATGAAGTGGATGAGCACATATGGATAAGCATATTGTTTGAAATACCTTCATCATATATATATATATATATATATATATATATATATATATATATATATATATATATATATATGTCTGTGTGTATGCCTTCCTCATATATATATATATATATATATATATACATTCATCATCATATATATATATATATATATTATATATATACACCTTCATCATATATATATATGTGTGTGTGTGTGTGTGTGTGTGTGTGTGTGTGTGTGTGTGTGTGTGTGTGTGTGTGTGTGTGTGTGTTTTTGTAAAATGCCTTTTTGTGTTCATATAATCTTTTATTTAGATTCCTTGAGGTTTCTCCTATGTATTTTTTGTGACAATTATTACAGGTGGTCAAGTAAATTTCTTATTCAAGATTTTGCTTATTGTTTTGTTTTGTATTGACTAAGTCTTTATTGTTTTAGATGTAGTTGTAAACAAATTTTATGTTGAATTTAGAGATTTTTTTCGATTGCAGATGTGATAAGTTAGTTCTAGGAACAATACATTGAATATGTGGCCTCCTATACATATATATATATATATATATATATATATATATATATATATATATATATATATATAATACTAGAACTACTACTACTAATATTAACAAGCAGGATATTTTTTCTGATGACGGTTATCCTGGTTGAAACTAGTCGAGGAACCTAATTAAAATAATAAAATTAGAAAATATTAATATACAACCTACTGTGTCTGAAAATTTTATTTTTTTAATATTTTTATTGTTCTAAAAACACACACATACACACATATATATATATATATATATATATATATATATATATATATATATATATATATATACTATATATATACATGTTTTTTTTTGGGGGGTATATGTAGATGTGTGCGTATACGTGTTCCTGTTCGACGAGGGTGTTCTGTTTCTTTCAGTCTCTTGCTTTGGTCGGCCTCTGCCTGATCTTTTAACCTGCTGATTGTCTGGCGACATCTTTAATTCAAAGGTTGAAGCCGAACGATTATGTCATTAACGTTGCGATTGGGAACTTTTCCAATGCAAACGAGGACAACAAATTTACAGCCTTCGTTGCTTTTTTTTTCTCTCTTCCTATCTTTTATTTATATTTTATTTAGTTTGTGCTTTGTCTTTTTTGAGAGCGCTCCACAAGGCTTTAGCTCATACAAAAAAAAAAGCTCAACTGTGTTTTTGCATCACAATACGCACACACACACACACGCGCGCGCGCCCGCGCTCCCGTGCACACGTTATGACGATTAAGATGTTTTTTTTAATTCTTTTGTGGTTCTACGTCAAATGGAGGAAATAATTTGTTTCTTTCTCTTTATCTTTTTTCTCATTCCCCACTTTCATGCTTTCCTTACATTTCCTTTTCTTTTCTCATGAGAGAAAGAGAAAAAGGAAAATAATTTTCAAGCAATTGCCGTATTTTCCGACTTACAAGTTGCTTCGGGTTGGAAGACGCACCTTAATATTGGAAAGAAATTTCTAAGAAAAAAAAGTGTCATTCTCATACAACAACACATTCACCATGTATCCCTCACCTACTGGTGCCC